TATTCATATTTTTTTCTTTAATTATTTCTGGGAAAAACTACGAGAATCTTTTGAGTTGTACACAGACTTCAATACCGGCAGTACCTATTCCAAAGAAAGGACAACTGGATTGGAAATATTTTAAAGAGGATTTGTACTCCAAAGATTCCTGTAATGTAAGGGTGGATTGGAGAAGAGTAGAAAGAAGACGAGGAAGGAGACTCAAATTTATACGATTAATGAGGTGATAGTAATTAAATTAAGATAAGGGCAGAAGTACAGGCGAGATGCTGCGCAATTTCTTTCCAACTCATCTAAGATACATTTAGGAGATGATGTTAATATTGATTTTGATGATGATGATGCGAAAAATTCTTGATTTAATACACCCGTATGATAAGATGCATAGGAAAACAACTTAAACAACAAAACTTATTTATTTATTAGATGCTCGTCGGTATTTCTTTTCTTGCCGCATTATACAACCTTTTAGCATTTATATCGAAAAGTACACAACGTATTATGCACATATACAATTCAATTAGGTAGTCACATATACATTATAAATATACATATTCTTTATGAAATTTCCCAATACATAAATTTTCCAAGAAATCTTAAAACATGCCATCAAAGTTTCAAGAAATAGTGATCAATTGTTCCGTAAGTCGCAGGTAAGTAATATGACCTCCAAGAGGTAATCTTTTCCCCAAGCTCCTTGAAACGTCAGGTCCATCTCAGTGTGGGTTGAAAGAAAGTAATAAGATTCTTCAATGCGGAAATTGTGCGGTAACCTTTGATTCCCGTGCACGTCGACTCAAGGACGGTACGAAACCAAACCCGAAACGACTAGTTCACCGTTATCGAATACGCGGAGTAGCGCATCTGTGGCATATGGCACAGAGTTTGCCACAGGGATACCAGATAATTGTGAGAAATTATCATAAATTATTCCACAAAGTGGAAATGTCAGTTAGGGGGTCAGTAGGTCGTAATATGCACCAAAAACTAAACACATTCGTAGTTGACACGATAAATCGTCCCTTTCAGTAGGCACTTTCTGTTTCACCTCCACACCCGTCTTATCCTCTTCTTCCTCGGTTGCCCAGGATTATTCGCCCTTGTGGATGGTATAGTATTATACCCATCGGCAGACGGATGTCCTGTGCCTTTCCAACGTGTCGGTTACAGGAATTTTGGAATACATTATTTTCTCTTAAAACTACTTGGACAGTTTCTTGTCGATTTTTTGTAATTATTTTCCTGATCGTAGACCTGTAACTGTAAGAAGAAATCTCATTTCATAAATTTGTAGTTTAATGTTATGTCTTCTTCAGTGTCTAACATTTTTCTGCCATATATAAAATATTGGCATTCTTAATACTGTATAGAAATTAACCAATGTTTCTTTCTTTTCTATTTCATACGAGCGATTAAGTATATATTTATTGAAGGTGTTGAGAATCTGTCAAATTATTTTTTTTTTGTCATAACAAGATGCATTCGTAGCTTTTAGTGTGGTTGTTCGTATCGTAAATGTAAGTCAAGTTTCCCTGGCCAATCCGCGTGGACAAATCGAGCTCTCAGCTTTTTTTTCTCAGGGTTATCACGTTTCCTCTGCATCTCAAACCGCAATTGCTCAGTCAACATTTATACACTTCATCATTATCACTATCGATTTACACATTAGATCATGGATGTTCAACGATTTTAGTAGTGGAAAGGCCCTAAACGCCAATGAAATATTTTTTCTGTGCGCAGAACTCTACGACTAGAGAGAAGGAAGCAATGCGCTCTCCCTCTCTCTCTCTCTCTCTCTCTCTCTCTCTCTCTCACACACACACACACACACACGCGCGCGCACACACACACACACAATGCACACGTAACGAGAAGCAACGGATGGGCCAGTGGGATGCATACGTATCTACCGGAGTCTGTGGGTGCCTCAAGGATAAAGATAAACACGAGACAAGAACATGTGGCACGAAACCCGACTGTATACGCGCTTCTTAACAACGTCGGCCATCATGCTTGGAATTCGTACTAAGAGTGAAACATTATTTAAGACTATAACGCAAGATGAATGTCTCAACTATCCACCCCGCAATTGTCGACACGATCAGTTATGCGCCTGCGCGTCCAGCAAAACGTTCGAAGATTATGGCCTCGAGACATCTCACTTCTCCCTTTTCGCTTTTCGCGCTCTCGGAACACCTTAGCTATCCAGACCGACAGTCGTAACACTTAGGAATATCGTTTTCGACTGAAGATACAAGGAAATATACATATTTTTTTTTAAAAAAAGGACGCCATCATTCAAGGCGACGCGTTTATCGTATGCAGGGACGCGTCCGCCGAACCCGTCAAAGTTTATGAACCCACGACGTCTCACGTTTCGGCCGAACTCATCAACACGCTCCGCCTTCCCCGGCGCGCGGAATGTCCGCGGCAGGTGTGGACGGCCCCCCAAAACGGCCGGCCATGCAAATCGGCGACGAGGTGAAGACCGTGGCCGGAGAAGGAACTGCCATTACCGCGCCGGCGCGGCGCGGCGCGGCGGCCGGGCGAAGGTCTTCGTCTAGTCGGCGCGCCCGCAGACGCCAGGCCTTGACGGCGTTTTAGCCGCTCCGCTCCGCCCGACCCCGCCCCGCGCCCCGCGCCACGCACCACGCACCGCTCCGCTCAGCGGCGCCCCTCGCAACGCCGCTCCTCTCTGCCCCGCGCTGGATCCAGGCTCGGTTCTCTGTGCCTCGCCCCGCTCTACCCTTCCAGCATATAGAACCCCGCGCCGCTCCTCCCCGCTTCTACCCGTTCCAACTTGGCCTGCTCTATTCCTCTCCGCCCTGGATGGACCTACTCCGCTCCGTTCTGATCAGCCCCGCTTCGGCCCCATCCGTCCCTCCTCATTTCATCGCGCTCCGGCCTGTCCGTGGCGTCACAACCCACTGCAGAGCCTCAGTGGTCCTTGGTTCAAGTCCTGATGGAGGCAGGATTTTCGACACTAACTTGACTCCTAGGTCGAATTCAGTCGCTGCCTGGAGGAGAATTCTAGAAGCCACCTGCTCTGATTGGTAGTTTCGTGGTTTCTCCGATCAACACCAGACGAATACCGTAGCAGTACCCTAACGAATGTGCCAAGGACCGTGAGCGATATTTCCTTGCCCTTCCTTGTCCTAACGAGCAGTATACTACCACATGTCGGGTAACCAGGCGGGAGCTTAGAGCTTCTCCCGGTTGGGGCAGTGCCCCAATGAGGGGAGATACCTGGATGGGGAAAAGCCCGATAGCCGATGGTAAGGTCGGCGCCCGATCTCGCCATCCGGCAGGGAAAATTACAGCCCCTTCCGAGGATGAAACACACGGAACTTATGGGACTAATGGCCTTAGTTGACACGCCCGGAATCACTAACAATCAATCAGTCGTCTCAACCACTCCTCCCTTCCCAGCCCCGCCCGTCCCATTCCGCGCTTCGTCCCGCCCCTCTCCACCCACTCGTTTATTCCACCCCGCGCCGTTTCGCCCCGCTTCACCCCGTCCCCACTTGCTCCGATCCGTCCCTTTACGCCCTGCATACATCCTCTCTGCTCCACCCTGTTCCGCACCGCTTCGCCCCTATCCACCCCGCCTCATTTCGTCCTGCTCCAACTCGCGCCGATCCGCTCGTCTCTCGGCTCCTCCCCTCTCCTCCCCTGCCGCACCCCCCCCCACGCTGGCGTGCCTCGCTGCGTGCCATTGCCATATGCGCACGTCGCGCGCATTTTGCCCCACTGCCCCAAAAGGACTTCGGGTCGTTAAGCGTTTAATTAACAGGTTGTAAAATGTACGCAGAACGTAGCAGTTTAGGGTGGCCGATTTATGGTAGACGCGCCTTCGAAATTTACCCTCCTCCTTCCGTCCCCTCTCCGCCCCACGCCGTGTCGAGGCGCTTCTAATCCGATAGCACATTCGTTTTATTTCGGCGTCTCCTTCTCTCGAAAAGGAATCTGTTGGATAAGAACCTTTGGCGTCGACGGAGTTTTCAGGGACGCTCAGTGTTGGGTTTAGTGAAGATGGTCGCTTAAACGTTGTAGCAGAAGGTATTTGATGGAAAGAAAATTTAAAATCATCAGTGATCGATTATTACCTAACTTACATTTGCAATGGCCCACTCGGTGCAGGAAATCGTGATCGCTCAATGAAAAATATCTAGTGTAGATGTAACCCGTTTGATGATGGAAGATGTGGGTGGGGATATTTCCAAACGTCTACAAACGTAACTTTAACCATACTTACTTTAATCTCACAATGTATTGGCCTAAAGAACGTATTTTTCACTAAATCTCAATCGATTTTACCATCTAGATACTCTAAAGGGATGTAATTTGTTAATTGCCAAAAAATATCGTCCTGAAACGTGGCTTCTGAATTTCTTCAAATACATTAGCGTGATGAGACATATGATCTTATGCGACCGTATACTCGACGGTGGACGATATACCGTATACTCTCACTAAAGAGCTTTTCGTTGGTGACTGCTAGCTATGACATGTCACCGAGATCTGACAGTTCTCAGTTGGCAAGTGGCCGGAGACTGCACCGCTCTGAAGACGCCCACCGCAAAAGTGGACGAATGTTAAGAAACACACTCGCCTTTAGACCATGTCCCACCATTCCAGGAAACGTCAATCGATTTGACGCCGTCCGCAAAAGCATTCACCAATACGTATAATTCCGGTGATGTAAACTTGCGAAAGAACCGTGGAACATACAAGTTTGCGAAATATATTATTTGATTCGTTAAGACAAAATATCGGGGAAAATAATTTATTCAAAGTTTTTTGTGAGTTTAAGGCAGCTTTTATATCTCAAATGAAACAACTGTGTATCGCTATCAATGATCCTAATTCTACATTGGAATAATGGATATCGGTTCAGTACATGGTTTCAGGACGGATGTCTGTTTCAACAACGGGTTACGAACCACGCACTATCCCAAATCTGTTGACACTCCCGTACCTAGGGCCGGAGGTTGGACTGATTATCCGTTGCCGCACGGCTCATCTCCTAAGAAGTAGAGAGCATCCAGCGGTACGCGGATCTGGGCCAAACTGGATGGAAGCGCAATCACAAATTGTTTGAAAATCGATTTAGTTTCGTTTTTAACGAACACCTCAAAAGATGAACAGCTGTTGCATTCCATGTCACTAGCTAAATTATAAATCTCCTTCTGTGAACGGACACGCGGTGCGTGGACCAAGGCCCGGAAAGGCATGCGTTTAAGCGCGGATCGCCATGGGACCGGGTGGGCGCCGGGACGGAATGGGCGGTTCCGTTCAAGAAAACCTACAGACCTCGCAGCTCTCCTTCCCCCCTCAGCCCGCCGCCGTTGTGGTGGTGGCGGTGGCGGTCGTCGTCTCAGACAACCAGGCGCAGATTATACAACTCTCAAGGCTTACAAGCGTGCGCGCGCGGGCGTGCGTGAGGAAAGCGCGATCATGCGTGCGTGCGGGCGGGCGGGCAGACAGGCGGTCGGCCGGTCGGGTGGATGGGCGGATGGGAGGGCGGACGGGCAGATACGCGGACGGGTGGACGGACAGTCTAGCGGACGGACGGGGAGACGGGCAAGTGGGCGGACGGGTGGTCGGGTTGTCGGGCGGGCGGGCGAAGGTGTCTGACGAGCGAAGGTGGAGGGCGACAGAGCGTGAGAGGGGGAGAGGGGGAGGGAGGGAGGGAGATGGCGAGAGGGCGTCAGCGCGCACTTTGCGATGTGGATCAGCGGGTCGGATGCTGCGACACGATCGCCGCATGTGTATCCGACGGCGGCGGCGGCGGTGGCCCGGCGCTGCTTGCTGACAGCCTTCGCGAGACTCAGCGGCGCTCCCACGTTATGAGCCAGCGCGCCCACGTCGTGCAGCCGCGACGCCCACTGATCACCTGAGGCGTCCGGGGGAAACCGCACGCATTCCGAATCCGGGGCCGCGATTCGGTCCCCGGTGGTCATACACGACTCCACTCGAAAGAAACCCCGGAGTATAATCAAAATATTGTTATACGCAGGAATTTATACACGGAGAACGATATGCTTTTGTATCGTATTCCTAAAATTTAGTAGTTATATTAATTACTTATAACAGATACGAAACAATGTTATCACATTTTAACGACAGTATAAACGTGAGTCTATTCAATTCGTCTTGGACAAATCGGGAAGCCGTTTGGATTTCATGGAGATTCGTTCTCTCTTTCTCTCTTTCTCTCTCTCTCTTTCTCTCTTTCTCTTTCTCTCTCTCTCTTTCTTTCTTTCTTACTCACTATCACTCTTTCTCAGTTCCCTATTGCCCCTGTGCCATTTAATTTCATATCACTTTTCCTTATTCGACGCTAAAAGTATTAAAATAATGTGATATTGCGGAACAGTGGCAAGGAAATTGTTATTAATCAATGCTACTTTTTTACTCAAACTCCCTAAAGTAAATAAAGGTATTAATTAATAATTGAACTTGGATATTGAGTTACAGTGTTTAATACTGCAGGCTGTAATCACCAGCTGATGCTGCGTGGCGTCATGAACCAAAAAATAGAAAACATTTGCAAATGGCGTCAAGCTGATAATGAGGGAGGGCGCTCAGTGTGTCATTCCGACACGCACCGCCTCATCGTTGGTGTCGTTTGAACGGTAAGATTTGAAAAGATGCCAGAATAATGTAGAAGGGTCTTTGACTGCACGTGTTTGTAAGAAATCTTTCGACTGCGAGAATAATGATGGTCTTATTAGTTATTTACGTATCAAGGATAAAATTATTTTTTCTTCGGAAGGTATGTTCAGCGTCAGCAGCAAAGCGTTACGAAAGGGAAGGTGGTGAAAGATCTACTATTCTAAGTAGGAATAATAAGAAAAATAAAGTATACCCGTATTTAATAAAGTATCAATAAATATACCGTCGAGCTTGGTATTAATAGGTTTTCTCCGAATATGAGGTTTGTCTCCCTGAACTTGGCGCTAGCCTGTTAAAAGAGTCTGAGGTCAATAAAAGTTATAGCGATCTAGACTGAAAACAGTTCTACCTTATAGACGATAAGTCCGTAAAATGCAACTTTTGGTGGCGAGAGTACAGACAATAATTCTTTAACGTTTAGTTCGTTATTCAATGAGTGGGGTACTTACGAAAACGCACTACAATATCTACCTACGAATTTTTTGGAGTTACTTTCGAGAACACTAATGGATTTTTGTTGCTACTACGATGGGTTCTAATTTATGCTCCCAGAGAAAGATTTCATTAACGTTCGAGTAGTTATTTGCATATCATGAAAATGTGAAATGTGATTTGCTTATGCAAGGTTGCCTAAAGTTCACAACACATCGTTACAAATAAATAATGAAAACATACATCATTCATTCAAACATTTTCATATGGTCATGAATTCAATACTGTAGAACACAATTAGCTTTTATAGTCAATATAGACTTGTTGACCTTTATTGCTGTTAGTACCTGTTTACTGTTCATAGAACATAACACACACTCTCTACAACACTGCAGATCTTGGAAGATCCTACTACATACTGACACTGCTTTACTAGCACTATTACCAGCGAGCGGAAATAACTCAAATAATTTTACGAACTGTCATTTTTTGCGTGACTTTCAACTGTTATTCTGGTATTAACTTCTCGATACAGTCAATGTTATTTTCCTGATACTCGAAAATTATGCAATGTATAATATTGAATAAAGTAAATTAAATTAATGATATTGAATGAAAATCCATTTATTTCAAAATACTCTATTAAATAATTAGTTAACCAAAGAATATTCCAAACGTAGTAAATTTGGTGCTGCCAAACTAAACCAGTCCCGCGTATTGTTTACACATCTAACAGAAAAATTCACGTAAAATTCATTTTATGGCTGGGCAAGTTATTAAAAGGTTCAAGCCGGAAACATTCTTAGACCCACATTTCACAATGAACATTTCCGGAAGCCGCAAATTACCTTTGCTCTTTCAAGTAACCACCAATAACGTTTTAACTACAAATGCGTTTCAGTGCAATATTTCATTCTTTGGCAAGCATACGTGTGTACACAAGAGACGTGACATATCTCAAAATAGTAATTTTGCGAGAACGGATATCCTGAGCGGACGCGATTATTTCGCGTTGGGTGACCTATTTTGATACATACCCCTAGCTTGTGAACTTTATGAAATTGTTACTATTAAAAATATGCTACTATCTAAACATGTTCGTTCATTTAACGCAAAAATGGCGAATTTCGAGATTTGTCAGTTTGTTTGTGCTCAGAGGATGTGACAAAAGGCTGAACCGGCCATTTTACCGCCATTCGCGAATCCATGTGGCAAGAGATGCTACCGTCCCGCCCACCCGCTGGCCCACCGGCGATCCTAACCGCCTCCCTCCTTCCACGCAAGGTCATCTCAACAGGTGCAACAGTCTCCGCAACAGGCCTGCTTCGCTCTTGCCCGCCGCCACCAGCCTTCTCGACGTTCGCACTTTGTGGCCAAATGACGAAAACAAAACCGCAAATGGCTTCGAATTCAAATGCAAATTCTCGTGTAAATATTTTAAGTTCGCCAAATTTGAATCTAATAGCAAAAGGAACTAGTGCTACAACAGCACAAACATTCTCGCAACATTTATTATTATGTAAAATTATAATTCCACAATTTCTTTCCATATTAGCACATTTAAGTCAGCACTTGTAAAAACTCATTACCAATCGTAGCGGATTAGTTACAAAAATGTAATTCATTTAAAGATAGTACATAAACAAACATTCGGCAATCCAAAATTCAGTTCCTTTCTCGCAGAAACACCCGTTCACGCATATACACCCACTCAAGCAGAAACACCATCCAACAGTGAGAAGTTATTCTGAGAATTTCAAACTGTCGTGTTGCGGCATTCCATTACCGTATTGTAAATCCTGAAAGATTCTAGTAAAAAAGGTACGGGAAATTCGAACTAGCAATTTCGAAGAGAGCAGAGTTTTGGCCACGTTTTCGTCATTTGGTCACACCGTGCGCCGCGTGAAGAAAAAAAAAAAAAAAAAAAAGATTTACGCTGCACCAAGGACGTAGGCATTGAAGAGGCATTCTTCAGCCGCCCATTGAGGAAACACCGTTTCGTTTCAGGCGGTACTTCCTTCATTCTCTTAATACGTATGCATTGGTGCCCACCTAATGCGTCATCAGTATGCATTGAAACGCTAACTAATGGTTCCGAACTCCTTCGAATATACAGCGGAATGGGATATGTGAGAGGTGTTTTCAAGAAAGTTCTATATTAACGAACGTTTCGCGGCCAGTTATTATTTCATTCCGGTCCGCGTTATATGGGAGAACGTTTCAAACTCGCGATTAATAGACACTATGCTGAAACCTTTACCTGTGTGCAATTGACTTTCTTACGGTATCTATAAAAAGATAATCAAAAAGGTGTTAATTTAATGACAATTATTCCGCAAGTAATGCCGATCTTGTTATAAAAACACCTTTTAATACCAGCAGAGAAATAACTACATGAAAGTGCAAAAAGCCAATTAGAGAATATGATTTGCATGTACATGACAACATTATAATGATAACGGAAAAATCAATTCATTTCTTGGCCGAACTATCGTTGAGCAAATAATCAAGCAGATACTCAAAGAGTCGGGACAAAATGTTGATACAGTGCAAGGAGGTATGTTTCATACGGTTCTGAAATTTTGTAGTACATCGTGCTATTCGAGGATTATCTTGTTCTGTGATACCCACGAATTAGGAAAGATTGCTCTCCTCGAAGCCAACTGTAGATATTAAAACATAAAGCTGTTACTATACTTACTAATTTTCTATACTAACGAAAGTCATTCAATATACCAATTGTTTACGTTAACAATGTTAAAATTAAGGCAACAAAAAGGTTACGTATTGTATTCAGCATAAATGAAAAATTCTTTACAAGAAAACTTCTAGTAGGTTGGACATCATATCTACCCCCTCAGAAAAATTTTGGATGCACCGGCCTTATTATTCACAAAACCATATCTCTTCCTAAAACAAATTCTTTGCATACACAGAAATGAATTAAAACTTGGTCTTTTTTCGGCTTCAATGCGGCAGGTACGTGACTCTGCCGTCATCATCACCTACAGACTATGTCGAGGAATTGACGAGTATTCCCGAACATCTATGTACATCCTTCGGGACATGTTATGGGATAATTGTTGTGCAAACTCCTTGTCGATTTTTAAACCTATTTAAAAATTAATTTACAAGGCAAAATAAAAATAAATTTCAAATGTTAAGGACTCTATTACTGTTTACCACAGAAACAGAAAATTATGCAAGTTCACTTTTGTGAACAAGGACAAAAAATAATTTAAGGTGTGTTAACTCAAGAAACTGAATAGTATAAAGGCTAATGAGATATAAGTGTGTGGCAGTGATATGAATGAACGAAAGATAAATACACACTAAATCACTTTTAATATTTTCAGTACCATTCAACAACTCGGGCAGTACTTCTTTGTCCCATCATCACACGAAATAAACATCCTGACCAGCCTGTGCGCTTCGGCTTCGGGAAATCAAAGGCGCATATGCGCGCGTAGACGCGGCCACACACCCGGGCAGTGAGATAAACGCGCAAAGTGCTTTTCTAAGTTCGACTGAAGTTTAATGCAGTGCGGCAAACGCTGTAGGTGAACTGGCGCAGGTCCGCTGCTCCCCAGACCCAATTCAAGGCCGACCAGTGCCGGCCAGGATAGCTGGATTTCCCTCCAGCCCCCAACCACCCTCCGAATGTCCTTGAGACAGGTGTCCACCTCGTGTGTACTCGCCTCGAGCGTATTCGGGGTACTTATGCATGTCCGTTCGCCAATTGTCCCTGCCGCTCGCGCTTGTAACGTTCTCGTGTACAGCTTTGTGACTGCCTGGATAGACGCACAGGTGAAACGAGGCCCATAAATTTGCCAGATATCTGGGCTCGGGTTGCGAGACGTTGAAAAAGTCAAACCAATTAAGTGAACAGTTTACGCGTGAATACTGAATTATCGTATTACCTGTGATCAATAACTTTCGTCGCTATAGAATCTGTTTGAGAATATCTCAAGTGCATCAGATGTATCGCCATGTAGTGGGTTAAAAACTTACTCTTAAACCTTATTTGCACTCGTATACCAGATGTCAAATTATTTGGCATCTCGCGTTACCTGAACTGATCTTGCTATCATTTATTAATTTATTTATTTTATAATGTTAAAAACCAATAAAAACTTTATGTGAAGCTTGGAAGGCAAGTAAATTGTACAACTCCTGTTCAGAAGCAAAGCAAGGGACTACCTTAGTATTTACTATTCCATGACAAAATGGGGAAACTGAAATTTTGTATTGAATTTGTGAACACTGAAACGTAAGACATCTTCTTTAAAAATATTTTAAATGAGGGATGATTTTCTGTGATGTGAGTAGTAAAATTGAGTGATCGCATTGGAGAGTGCAAGTTCTAATGAAGGCTTAACTTGTCCGGTATGTTACATCCTCACTGACCCTTTCAATGAAAGTGGATTCATTAATCGTACGTTTTTTAAACTATAAACATTAAATACAGATAAGATAACCATGTCTAGCAATGATTGTATACCTTCACAACATCGAGGTAAGGTGTAAGGGTTAATGTGATGCAATAATAATGAAACCGTGATTACTCATAATTTATCATTTTATTCAAGCACACAATTGTTGTAGTTTTGTGTGCAAACAGACTCACAGAGGTTTGAGGGAGGAACCAGTGCACTACTTTTCCCTTCAAATTAATTTGTTACCGTGTGAAAAGTTTATAAACCAGCGCGAGGGGCAAATACGACACCTATAGCCCCGACAGTGGACGCTAGAGGGAGAGCAGCAAACATAAAATACACAAAACTTGTATTACGAACAAATCCTGTTTCTTACTTTCCTAAACAAATTTTCAGTTCTCGATCCTAAATAGAGTTATCATGCAGAGATATACCTCTAGCACCCTAGCAATAAGCCAGATTCTCGTAAGCTAATTTTAATTAGATTTAAGCAATCATAACTATTGGAGAGTGATTTGTACACTGACATTTGCATTGTACAATTCCAAAGAAAAATTAAAATATAGAGCGAGGGCGGAAAGGCACTCACGAGCGTAGCAAGCTAGTTGTGTTAGCGACGTCGCGAATTCCTTTGTGTCGAAGATACGCTAATTATAAAATAGTATTTTTTAATCAAACACTTAGCGTTAATATGAGCCGCACATAACATTTCCAATCCAATAGAAATTAATATTGGAAAATATACCTCTATTGAATACATTATCAATAAACAAATTAAAATAATTAAACTCTTCATAATTATAAACGTCTTTATACAAAAAAATCGGACAATATAACCTCCTCTAGATAAATCCTAGTTGTGCCACATTCTATTCTAGTATTACAAAAGTGCAACGCCACATTCTCCTTCATCGCACTATTTTGTTTTTCTAGACAAATTAATTGTTTCCACATTACCAACAGAAAAAAATCAAGCGCGAGAATGATTTCGTTCCGTAGAATGAATTAAAATAAATGCAAAAATTCCACATGTTATCCGTAAGGAGCATTTTCAACTACAAGCAATGAAGTATCTAAATAGAAGGCAAATATCTCAATAGACGGAGAGAACACAACGAAGATTAGGAGAGAGCGTGGAAAAGAGGGAGATACGGAGAGACCGGAGAGCGGAGGGGGAGAGAGGAGAAGAAGGAGGTCGGCCGAAGGGGGAGGGGGCAGTGGCGGACGCGGAAAGGTTAACCCCGCCATTAAAACGCGATTTTTACGATATCGCGATCGATTACTCCATGCAGGGACCTCCGCAATGCCAGAAACTCCGTATCTTCTCGCCGCCTTTGTTCCGTCTGCGTGCACTTGAAGAGGCCATTTAAGTGGCGCGGCCGGAGGGGGAGGTGGGGAGAACGGGCGGGGTCGCCAGGGGATGGCGAATGGGAAGGGTGAAACGTGGAAAACAGAAGAACCGGAACCGGGAGCGAACGTGACGGAGGACGCAGAGATTTGTTTTTAGAGTGTAAGAAAATACGTGAATGGAAACCGTAAGATGGAAAGAGAAGAAACGGGGCGCAGAAAAGACTACGAATAATAAAGAACGAATTGTGGCACCCGAGTTGCCAGAACAACACAGGGGAAAAAGGAGAACATGTTCAAAAGGAAATGAGGTGAAGGATAGAAAGCATTGAGAACAGATTGAAGGAAGTTTTGAATGTTGATTGAAGGAATGATTGAAGGAAGTTTAGTCATGGCTAAAAACAACTGGACTAGACTTATGATAGGTATGACGGCGTTTACTATACAGAAAGACAGAAGAAAAGGATATTTCAAAAATATTTAAAGCTAATATTCATATATGTCTGGCTTATTATCATCTTTTTTACCAACCTTCGCAAATACAGCTGCTGAATATCATAATTATTACCTTAAAGTATCGTTCAATATCCTGGTGAATATTCAACAATATTTATTATTTGTAGGTTCATGCCCTCACAAGAGACTTCACATCAAATACTGGCCGGAAGAGAAAAAAACGAAACGCATACTTAGAATACACGTGAATATAGAAGAAAAAACAGAGAGAATGTATAGGCCAATATCTATGATATGGGGGCGTCAGGGAAGAGGAGCATTCATAACGCTGAAGAAGAAGTATGTAACCGAGCACGCCTTACTCACGATACAATGAATAGAGGCTATTCTAAATTCTAATGCCCTGGTCGTATTTTCGTGTGGACCACGGAGACATCATCATATTAAGGCGGAGTGAAACTAATGAAAGAGCTTCTGTGAACATGTATGTGACTATCAATATGTGACTAGTCACTATAAAGAGGCCCATGGCATTATTTTCAAACAAGTCATCATCTTTTAATGTTGTTAGCATTATAATATTGATTCTTATAATGCAACTGCAATTGGCCACTTTCGTTGATTAAATATTAAATTATTTTAATAAAAGCAATATATTTCAACAGGCTATGCAAAATGGAAAATGTTTTACACTATTTGATAGGGTGGAAGGCACAGATTTCATTCTCAACGAAATTTATCACTCAACTTTAGATCTTTTGTTCTTCAAATGATAGCCTGTACAATTTGCTTAAAACAAAAGAGTAGTTAATAAGCAAATTTGACGGAAATCGTGACATCTTTCTATAACCTTGTAAACAAGAATTTCTTATATACGGTTAATGTTTCGTATATCGTGCATTGCGTTGAGTGTAGTTTGATTTACTCTCTATTCAATTAGTCCATAGTTCATACTTCTTGAAATGTTAATGGAGTTTTCTATTTTCCATATAGTGAGTATGTAGAACGTTTCTAACTTTTCTATCCACACTTATCTAATTTTCGATGTCCATCCTTTGTTACTGCAAATTTCAAGATATTTCCCAACCTTTCAAGCAATATTCCAAATCTAATAATTCCTGTGGCTTGGATGTTTTATGAAAAAAATCATTCAATTTTATTTGAATCTTAAATGAAGTCATGCACTTTGTTTTAAACCATCTAAACAAAAGTAAAGTATTAATCTAAGAGGAAGCGGTATATCGCGCATTGCTATTAGTGTAAGGATCACCCAACAAATGTTCCCGTGAAGCCATTGATTCATTTCTCGAGGAAGGTGAAGGCGGCTTCTCCAGTGACAGGAGTTTCAA